GTTAATATTCTACAAGGCAATGAAATGCTATCCTTTGGGGTTATCTTTTCTGCCGGACAGAAATAATTTGCATCTCAACTAGACACAATCAAAATCATTTGCAATTTATTCATATAAAAATTCACATCTAATTTCATAGAGTCTAGGCCCCTAAGTAAATGGTCAAACAAAAAAAATATATTTCTCTACAGCAATGATTCTCAACTAAAGGTGATTTTGCCTCCCAGAGGACATTTGGCAATGGCCAAAGACATGTTCGGTTGTCACCATTGGGGAGTGGTAGTGGCATCTGGTAGGTAGGGGCCAGGGGTGCTGTTAAACCTTGTACAATGCGTAGGACAGCCTCCACAACAAAGAATTATCCAGCCCAGACTGGCAACCTCCACAACAGAGAATTATCCAGCCCACACTGTCAGTGGTACCCACCTCTACCTATTAGATGCTAGTAGCACCCCCATGGTTGTGACAACCAAAATGTCTCCCGACATTGCCAAATGTTCCACAGGGAGGCAAAATTGCCCCCAGGTCAGATGCACTGCTTTAGAGTTGCACTTTACAAATCCATCACCTCTAGTCATGTGTAGCTATTTATTTTTATTTTTTATTTTATTTTTATTTACTTACTTTTTTATATCATAATGTTAATGAACACCAGGGGTTCAGTCTAGGTCCTGTTGCTTGATGCACAGAAAGCCAATCACTGGGACAACAAGTATTACAGGGAAGAAAGCTTTCTTTAGGTGACATCAGTGGGAGAGACAGGAAATAAACCTCAAATCCATTCCTCCTCCCTGACTAAAGTTAGGTGTTTACACATCATGGGAGGATAACAGGAGCAGCAAGGAAGAGGAGTTGGTCAACAGGCAGCAGGGGCATCCCACAGAAGAAATGTACATTTCCCAAGCTTCAGTTCTGTGGACATCTGGCTTGTTGGAAAATTGGGCAGGCAACAACAAAATGTTTACAATCAGCCCCAATTGAAAATTTAGTTCACTTTAAGTGTTCAGTAGCCAATTGTGGGCCAAGTGCAGTGGCTCATTCCTGTAATCCCAGCACTTTGGTAGGTCAAGTCAGGAGGATTGCATGAGGGCAAAAGTTTAAGACCAGCTTGGGCAACAGGGCGAGAGACCTCATCTCTACAAAAAAAAGAAAATAAAAAAATAAAACAACAACAACAAAATAGCCATGTTTGGCTAGCAGCTATTCTACTGGGCAGGGCAGGCAGAGAACATTTTCCTCTTTGTGGAAAATTCTGTTTGATGGTACTGCCTTAGATAAATAATCATTTCACGGGTCTGTTAGATATTGGGACAATGTAATATTGAAAAAATATGCAGGCCAGGCGCAGTGGCTCAGGCCTTTAATCCCAGGACTTTGGGAGGCTGAGGCATGCAGATCAGTTGAACTCAGGAGTTTGAGACCAGTCTAGGCAACATGGTGAAACCCCGTCTCTACAAAAA